CCCTGATCTTGAAAAAATTTATCTTCGAGATATTGCTGTTCCTAAAACTTCTTCTATGTTACGGTTCCTTGAAATTATGAAAGGGCTTAGAGTTTTAGACCTTTCTGGAATGAAACTCTCATTAAAGGTAATTGATAAAACATCTCAAGACCTCCAAGAATACATTCATTGTTGCAATCATTTAGAAAGTGTTATCATGAATAGAGTTATTTTACCAGGAGATGTCTTGAAAAATATTATTAAAGAATTTAGAAGTGAAAAAGTAAATATTCATTTGAGACAATCCGAATTTACCGTTGACAGTGTTAAAACATTTAGCACAGTTTTTATTGGTTTAGAATCAGTTCAACATTTGGATATTTCAGATTGTGGAATTGCTGAAGAAGGAATGGTTTATTTGTTGGAGTCATTATGTCAAAATACAATTATTGAATCAATAGACTTATCTCAAAATTTATTCAATCAAGGAAATAAAGACAATATAGTTAAGGCCTTAGTTAAGTTGATTAACGGAGGAACTGGTCTTAAAAAATTAAGAATTGCTGGTGGTTTGAAACAAACACAACAACTAGGAACTTCTATTGTTCCAATTTTCGATGCATTAGCAAATAACAGAACAATTAGAGAATTTGATTGTAGTAATCATATGTTTGGTAATAAAGGGGCTTTTGCTTTAGCTAATTTAATTACAGTTAATGATACCTTGCAGGTAATCAACTGGGATGGAAACTCTATTGGTATGAATGGTTTAAAGGCTATTGCTGAAGCTCTTAGAATCAACACTGTATTGAAGGAATTCAAATTCCCTATTTCTGATTGTGGTAAACTAGAAGATGTAGAGAGTGTTAGAAAAGTGTTAAGCAGTATGGTTACTTCTCTCAACGTCATAGAATCTCGTACTAACTAATTTTACTTTTTCTTCAGTCATAAATCGTTCAATGAAAAAAGTTTTTAAAGAAAAAAGAAACAAACACACATTGAATTGAATAAGATATGAAAAAAGACAATAAACAATAAAATAGAAAAATAAAGAATAGTCAAATTACCAATTCTTAACATTTTCGATTGATTTGTGTGCAGCTTCAACAACTTTGTCTGAGGTAATACCAAACTTCTCATACAACTTATTGATTGGTGCTGATGCTCCAAATGAATGCATTCCAACAGCAACACCACAATCTCCAATAAACTTCTCCCATCCCATAGTTGATGATGCTTCGACTGATACTCGAGCATGAATCTTTCTTGGAAGAACTGACTCTCTATATTCATCACTTTGTTGACTGAATAATTCCCATGATGGAAGTGAAACAACTCTAACTCCAAGTCCTTCCTTATGAAGTTTCTCTGCTGCATTAATAGCAATATCTACTTCTGTTCCTGTAGCCATAAGAATGACTTCTGGTGTTCCATAATCTCTTAAAACATATCCTCCTTTTCTTACATTTTCTGATGATGCAAAAACAGTTCTATCAATAATCTTACTATTTTGTCTTGCCATAATCAAAAGAGTTGGTCCATTAGTTCTTTCAATAGCTATCTTCCATGCTACACGTGTTTCATTTGCATCTGATGGTCGAATAACAACACAATTAGGCATTGATCGATATGAAATAAGATGTTCAATTGGTTGATGTGTTGGTCCATCTTCTCCTACTCCAATAGAATCATGAGTAAAAACAAATATTGATGGATAATGTGAAAGTGCTGCCAATCTAATAGTTGGTCTACAATAATCACTAAATACAAAGAATGTAGATCCATATGCAATTAATCCTCCATAAATACTCATTCCATTAACCATATTTCCCATAGCATGTTCTCTAATTCCATAATGAATATTTCTTCCTTTAGGATCTTCATGGAATGATACTCCTGGAAGTACGACTTTAACACTTCCTCCAACATCAGCAGTTCCTCCAATTATTTCTGGTAATTTTTGTGCAATTTCATTAAATGCTTTTCCTGAACTAATTCTTGTAGCTTCACCTTTTTCATCTGCTTTAATTTCTTCTTTAAATAATTCTGAAATACTTGAAATATCTCTCTTAAGTCTACGTTCAAATTCTTTTGCAAGTTCTACTTCTTCTTTCTTATATTCTTCATACATCTTTTTCCATTCTGTATGTTTTAAACTTCCTCTTTCTGATGCTGCATGATAAACTGCATAAACATCTTCATCAACATGAAACTCTTCTGTAACTCCATATGCTTTCTTCATTAATTCTAATTCTGGTCCTGGTGGTTCTCCATGTGCTTTAGAAGTGCCTTGTTTATTTGGCATACCAAGTCCAATAGTAGTTTTACAACAAATAAGAGTTGGTTTATCTGATGCTTTTGCTAAAACAAGTGCTGCATCAATTTCATTTACATTATCTCCATTACATTTCAATACATTCCAATTATATGCTTCAAATCTTTTTCTAACATCTTCTGTAAATGCAAGATTAGTATTTCCATCAATAGTAATATGATTATCATCATATAAACAAATTAATTTATTTAATTTCATATGACCAGCAAGTGATGCTGCTTCTGCAGTAACTCCTTCCATCAAACATCCATCTCCAAGTAATACATATGTATAATTATCAATGATTTTCTTATCTTTAGTATTAAATGTAGCTGCCATATGTTTTTCTGCTGCTGCTAATCCAACAGCAGTTGACATTCCTGCTCCAAGAGGTCCACCAGTAACTTCAACACCTTCAGTCCATCCATATTCAGGATGTCCAGGTGTTTTAGAGTCTAATTGTCTAAATTCTTTTAAATCTTCCATAGAAATATTATATCCCAATAAATGGTTAATAACATATAATAATGATGATCCATGTCCATTAGAAAGAACAAATCTATCTCTTGAAATCCATTTTGGATCTTTTACATCAAATTTCATATGTTTTGTAAATAATGTATATGCAATAGTAGCACATCCTGTTGGTACTCCTGGATGTCCACTTTTAGCTTTATTAATCATTTCACATGCAAGAAGTCTAATAGTTTGAATACTTCGTTCTTCTAATGACATAACACAAGAATAAGCTAAACACAGTTCAATTCTTACTTAAATATTCTAATTGGTGTAGAATCTTGTTCTTATGAAAGACGAAGATTCTCGACGATCTTTTTCTCTTCTTCTTTTTTCTTTTCTTATTTCTTTTTTTTGTTATTTATAACGAAATCTAATATAATTATATTTTCAATTATTCTTCTCTTTATAACAATCATTATCAAATTAACTTCTCCTTGTTGCTCTAAACTCTTCAAATAACAATGGCCCTATTTAATTACTACCTGTTTTTGTTTATTGATTTTTTTTGTTAATAACAAAAATACAAACATGAAATAATTCTATCTTCGTTAACATAATTGTCATTTAACACACAATCTCTTTCATAATACAAAGAATCCCATTCATCTTTTGTGAGATAAAAAAATGGTCTATTTCTTTTGACATACTCAATAAATTCCTCTAATAATGGAAATAAACCATAAAATACTTTCAACATTCTTTCTAAATTCTCTCCTTCAATAATTCGTTTATTTCCATATATTTTAAATGCTTGTTGAACTAAATCATTGTTGCTCCACATTCCTTCTTGTATAAATATATTGAACGTATCTTTATTACTTTCAATAATAAGTGTTTCTCTTGTATTATAATGAAATACAAAACAAGGCTCCTTAACCTTTCTTTTTATTCCACAGTATTTCTTTGTATATTTCATTATGTCATCTAAGACTTGAACATTCAACATTGTTTAATTGAGGAATTAAATTTTAAGATAAATTCTTAAAAGTTTTTTTTTAACATCATTTCTTGTATTAAAATTAATGAATGAATGTTTTTTAACTCAAGAAATATTAATACAGATAACCATTTGTATTTTAATAATGTTTTAAAATTGATTATACCGATAGTAATCAACACCATTCAAGTCTTGATAAGTATAGTACTCAATATTATTGAATTAGGAATATTTGATTATTGGATTTGGTAATGTTTGGAATAACATGAAATATAAAGTTATACAACAAGTATGAAAGTGAGTATTTAGATTAAGAAGTTCAAACAAAAAGTTATAAAAATTATTAGTGTTGAACCAAAGCATAACATTATTCAATTTAGTAATCCAGGAAAGATATCTTTTAGGAATGGTAATGCCTCAGAGCCAAATAAGGATTTAACCATACAATCTCCTTTATAAATTAATAAGCCAGGAAGTGATTTTTCAGGAAATGGTTTATTTGAATCTTCCCATGTAATTTTGGCAAAACATACGAAGGGATATTTCTGTGCATATTCTTCCATCATTCTATTAATTAATGTACAGTCTTTTACAAAGGTAGTATAAATGTGAATCACTGCAAAGACATCATCCTCTAATGTAGTTATTGTATTGGCATATTCCTCCTCATCCAATTCAAGAACATCTCCATATCTTCTTTTAACTATCTTCTTCAATACCTCTGGTTTTTGTCGTTCTTTAAATACCTGAGCACTAACCACTTCTCCAAACAATTCTTTCTCTATTTCATCAAGGTCCTCTTCTTCACATTTCTCTTGAACAATACTATTGGAAGATTCTCCTCTCATTATTCTCTTAGTTTCTTCAACTCTTTCTTTTAGTCGTTGCTCTGCATGTTCTCTGGCTTCTTTATAGTCATTAATTACACCTTTTACACCAGCATTTCCATAAGGTCTTAATTTAAGTGGTTTTTGTTCAAATTCATCATAAGAAAGATTTTCTTCACTCATTGAGTTTCTTTCACTATCACTTTCCATGACAATGTCTTTCGACATAGTGTTGATTGGATTAAGTTTTTTCTATTCTTGAAAAGGAGAGATAATAAAATTTACTATATTATTGTTAATAATATTATGAAAAGGAAATAAAAAGTTTTCATATCTTTTTTTATCCAATATAATTTCATTGTTTTAGTTTAATACTTATGAAGTGAATATAAAAGGATAAATAAAAACCAGAGTGAAAAACAAATTAGATTTGAATAGCATCAAGTTGATTCATTATTTTATTTTTTAATCTCATCACTCTAATTAATTCCATGTCTTTACTTCCTTTTTCTAAAACAACAAAAGGATCAACTTTTAACCGTTCTTGGTCTAATGTTTTGTCCATTAAAGAATTAATGTTTTTGACAAATTTAACTCTTTTTTTATCACTTAACATTTTGATAGCATCAATCTGTTGTTGAGCTTGAAGATTCTTTTCATTTCTTAATTTATTTAATTCTTCATTCATTTGTTGAATGCTCTTTTGTGCTGAATTTTCAATACTTTTTAACTCTTCTTTACTCCTTCTATTGAGTAAATCTAATTGATTAATTTCTTGTATTTGTCGTTCTTTTTCTCTCTCAATCCTCTCTCTTAATTGTCTTTCTTCAATATTTCTACTAAATTCTTCTTTGACTTGTTTAACTAATCGTTGTCTTCTTGCATTGTTAAACATTTGTTTAATATTTGGTGCAACACCACGACTTCTGACCATAGCTAAATACCTTCTCCTTCGTTCTTGTCTTTGTTTATCTCTTCTTAATCTAGCAGCTTTTCGTGCTTGAATAATACGCATCATTTTTCTTCTTCTTAATTCTCGAATTTCTTGCATTCTTTTGATTCGTTGTTGCATTTTCTTTTGTCTAAATAACCGAGCAGCTTCTTGTCGTTTTTTCATCATATCCATTCTTCTTCTTCTCTTTAATTCTTGTTGTTTTTTCATAGCAATTCTTTTTTTAAATTCCATTTCTCTTCTTCTTCTATTTTCTTCATTTCTTTTCTTTTGTAATGCAATTCTTCTTTTTCTAACCATTTCACTTCGTCTTCTTGCTTCTACTCTTTTCTTTCTTATCATTAATTGTTTTGTTCTATATAACATTTCTTGTCTTATTCTCATTTGTTTTCTTAATTCAGCTTGTTGCATAATAGTCATTCGTTTATTTCTTCTAAGCATTCTAATTCGTTTTAATGCATCAAATGCTTTCTTTCTCATTAAATATTCTTGTTGTGCATAATTTCTTTTTTCTTGTTGTGTAAGTCCAACACTATTATTCTTCTTTTGAATTTGTTTTTTATTACCACTATTATTCTTCTTTTGAATTTGTTTCTTTATATTATTTTTTTTATTGTTTTTATTATTTTTCATCTGTTTTGCTGGTTGTTGGTTTTGATTATTTTTTATTGAAGAAGTTGATGATTGTTGAATATTGGTAGATGCTCTTTGATTATTGAATTTGTTATTTTTATTACTTGCTTGCTGTTGTTTCTTTCTTAGTACTTTACGTGCTTTTCTTCTTAACTTCATCATTCTAGTTTTCTTATTCATGAATTGCTCCAACTCTCGTTTTTGTAATTGTCGTCTAACTTTTTTCTTAGCGTTTCTAAACAATCTTCTTGCTTGTCTACTCAATCTATTTTTTGCTGCTCTCATTTTTGCTTGTAGTTGTCTTCTTGCAATTCTTCTTTTTCTTTGCATTCTTTGAATGTTTCTTAAACGTTTTCGTTGATAGGGACTAAGATACACGTCGTCTGTCAATTCAAATTCATCAACTGAATTTTCATCTGCAACATTGAGTGAAACTAGGTCATCCATCATTTCATTTCGATCAAAACTATAATCTTTCACATCATTTTCTTGTTGATACACACTTCCAATTACACAAACGAAACACATGATCACAATGATCATTTCAAGTTTTTTCATATCGTTCAAATATTATGATTTTTCAGTTATGTTTTTTCTTTTTTTTTACTTTTACTAAAATTTCGTTATGTAAACCATAATTCTTTGACTGACTTGTTTACTAAATTATTAAAGTGATTAGGATACAATTAATGTTCTTCTAATAATTAGGTAATGCTTTCTTTTTTGGATCTGAAAGGAAATTACGTTTAAATCGTTCATTAATTTCATCAATGTCAACTGGATCAATTTTACTTGAATGACAATTGAAGGCATGTTTAACTGGATCTTCAACTTTTTGATTACACACATTACAAACTCCTTCTTTAAACAGCTTAGAAACAATTCTCTTTTGAGCTTCAGATGCCAATGCCTTATCTTCTTCTTTTAAAGATGTATAAAAGCTATATTCATAATTATCAAAATTTTTAAACCAATGTACTGTCTTTGGAGGAAGATGTGAGTCTTGATTAATAATACTACTTTCTCTATAATGGATAGTACATCTTCTATATAACTCTTCTTCATCTGCATATTCTATTAAACAATAATAACATAACGAATGTACTTTTCTTAAATACGTAATTTGAACATCAACCTTTTCTCTAATATTCCAATGTTCCCATTCTGGTGTATCTTGTAATGCTTTTCCTTTTACTCCATTAATTTGGTCCATTAATCCAATAAGTTGATTTAATTGTACACAATCTTTATCTAATCGTTCTTTTTCATTAAAATCTCTTGGTGCATAACGTAATTGTGGTTCTTTTGATCGAATAGAACTTAATTGACTTCGGTCAGATTCACTTTGCATTGTTTTTGCTTGTGCAGCTGCTTCTTTAGTTTTATATACAACAAACCCAACACTAACCTTCCTATATCTCGGATCTCCAATAACAACTTTTTCAACTTGATCTTTAAGTGGTGCAATCTCTTTCATTCTTTCACTTGTCGTAGCATGATCTGATATTACCATAACTCTTCTACCATCATATGGATCGTCAGGAAGACTTTTCTCATCTCCATAATTCGGAAATGTAATATTATTCATAAATCTATCATATGCCTCTTGTACTTGTCGTTGTTTAGCCATTCTCCTTTCCCTTAAGTTGATTGGATGAAACTGTTTTATAAACCATTCATTTCTTCTATTTCTATTAAAGTATGTTTCTGCTTCTTGTTCTTCTTCTCTTCGTTTCTCTCTAAATCTCATTTCAGAACGACTACGTGGTGAAAACATTCCACACTCATCTTCTCTTCGAATATCTCGTCGTGGTGATAAATATGGATCATCTCTTCTTATTTCTCTTCGTGGTGATAAATATGGATCGTCTCTTCTCATTTCTCGTCGTGGTGATAAATACGGTTCTTCTCTTCGAATATCTCTTCGTGGTGATAAGTATGGATCATCCCGTCTTACTCCTCTTCGTGGAGAGTATCCATTCCATTCGTTGTGTCTTATCATTTCCCATTCTCGTTCATTCATTCTTTCATTCGTTCTATCTCGATCTCGTGGTTTAGGTGAATAACTAATTGGAGAATCACTCATACTGTCATCAGGAGAATACCTCCTTGAATAATAATTACTTGAAGAATAACCTCCTCGATATGACATCACTCGTTACTCAAGCTAATCAAGATCTTCATCTTGTTTTTTAAAAAGAATTTTTAGGGTTTTTTGAAGAATCAAAAACAAGCAGAAAAAAGACACTGAGTTAAAGTTTATTTTCTTCAACTTTTTGAAGTTGGATTTTTGTTATAAAAAACGATAAAAATAAAACAATAAAAATGATTAATATCATTTCGTTTTTTTATTATTCATTTATTTTCTTAATTTTATGGAATGTAGTGTTTTACGTTAAAATAAGTAGTTTTTATGAAACTTTACAAGACGTTTCAAAATGAATGGTTTATTAAATACGAAGAAGAATTAACAAATAGATTTGTTTTACTTAAATTAAAAAGCATAATTAAAACAAATAGCATTAAATGTAACACTGTTACTTTTCAAAACAAATGAATAATCACAAATGAAATGATGTTAATCGTTTTGGATATTTAATTTTTATTGTTTTTTATCACAAAAAAATTTTGACAATATTTATGAAAATAGAAAAAATAGAAACGAACTCAAAAATTAGAAACGTAGATAAAAATTATTGAAGAAAATGAACGGACTTCACAAGATTTACATTCCGACATCTCCTAAAGAGATTTTTATGTTTTTAAAAGAACCAAACAAACCAATTTCATCTCGAAAAGTGTTAGTTCAAGGAGAAACAATTGTAATTTTAATACACTTTGTAGTGTCACCTAAAAGTAGTTCGTATCAATGGTTTTGCCAAACTAATCCAGTTGTTGATTTAGTTAAATCATCTAAAATACCTCATTCTACATCTCTTAATGAAGAAAAAGTAAGAAATTTAACTATCGAAAATACTGTCAGCATCTTACCTAGCGATCGTTCTATGCCTCTTAACTCAACTTGGCAACCTTTTATTGATTCGTTATTATCCCCAAGTAAAAATCAGAAAAATGAGCCAGTCTTCTTTTTATTGCCAGATCAGTCAATTTGTTATTTATTACTACAAAAAATAGGAGTTGTTGAACATCTTTTAAATACACAACTGTGTTTAAGGGTAACTATCCCACCACCATCAGTAGATTCAAAGTATGAATATTATCAAGACACTTTGTTTACTGTAAACCAAATCAAAGGTACACCAATTGAATTTTATACTAATATAACTGTAATCGATCCAATCAAAATACGATCAGTCACAACACAGAGTTCATCAGGGTCATTTCTTGTTATTACATTAGAAAACACATCAGAAAATGAAATAGTAATATCTAATCTTATCACAACATGTCAATACGCGTTAGACAAACCTTTCTTACCTTTACCATGTACTTTAAAAGCTATGGACAAATATACGTTTGCTGTTCCAGTAAAAGTACCTATTTCTTTCACAAAAGAGATTAACAAAAAATCAAATCATGTACCGAGAAAACCATTGCCATCTCCTAAAGTACCTGTACCAACACGTTCTCTTTCTTCATCACCAGAAGTATCTGATAGAATGTCATTTGATTTAAAAAGATTATCAACTAACGCTAAAGCATTACCTAAAATATCAACTCGTTTTGATAGAAGTCAACGACTTTCAACAAGTTCACTTGAACAAACATTACTTGACAGTGATGCGTCATCAGCAAAAAAGTCATCTATTTTATGTCCAAAAGCAGGAAATATTGAACCTATTTCTCCATCAAAAAGAAGAAACAGCTTAACATCTTTTAATGAATCAAGAATAAGTGTTGGACTAACTATTACATACAGTATGGAAGGGATGCTTGGAAATTTATTTGTTGCACGAGAGCTAAAAGCTGATGCACTAAAATATCAGCCAATAACAATGAGAATCTCATGTTTGTTTTTGTTTATAATTCAATTTAATAAAAAAACAAAGATTTAATTCATCGCAAATTAGTTCCTCAAAGAATAAAATGTCATAGAGTATTTAGAGTTGTATTTGAACTAATTTATCAATGTAATTCAGAGAAACATTTAACGTTGTCTATTACAAGCGTTGATAATATTCAATCTCCTGTTTATTGCTTACATCCAACAATTGATATTGGAGTATTTTCACATCCATGCACATCTTCTATTTCTGTCGAATTTCTATCAAATAAGTCTGGACTTTTTACATTTGGTCCAATTCAATTAAAAGATGTTATTTCAGGCGAAATATTTAAAATGGATGATAGTTGTAAAATTTTAATTGAACCATAAATAACACAAATTTATTTTTATTTTTAATTAATAATTATTAACCATTAACTATTTTATTATTTGACATACAAATATTAAAATCAGTTTAGAAGAACAGTAACATTTAGAACTCAATCGTTTATCTTAAGTATTACACAATAACAAATCATTATTAACTCAACAGAAGTGCCACAGTTTTTAATTAAAAATAATTATTACAGGAAATAACAGAGATTTAACGAGAATAATCAATATTATAGAAGAAATAACAAACATCAAAAAGGATTTAATACAAATAAGATAATCCATAAATATAATCAATTTGAAATAGACATTGGTACAATAGTTGGAAAAATAAATATTATCATCAAAATTACTATTATCCGAATAGAAGATATAAACAATATCAATATATGAACAGTAACAATCAGAAGAGGATAAATAGAAGTCGAAAATAGTATAATAAAGAAAGGATATGGAAAAGCAAAAGAAGTGAAAGAGAAGAAGAAATAATAAAAGAATGGATGAAAAGGAATGAAGAAGTTGAAAAGTTGGTAACAAGAATAAAAATAGGAAAAGAAGAAGAATAAGAAATACCAATGGAAAATGAAGAAAATAAAGAAGAAAGAATACAAGAATAAGTTAAAGAAACAGATGAAGAAGAAATAAAAGAAAAATAATAAGAACAACAAAAAGAAAGAAATAGAAGATATAATAAAAGAGAAAGAAATAGAAAAGAGAGATAAAATAAATGAAGAAGAAAGAAAAAGTACAGAAATAGAAAAAGAAAAGAAAGTAAAGGAAATAGAATAACAAGCAAAGAAAGATTTACAAGAATAAATAGATAGAAGTGTAGAAAATAATAAAATAAAGAGAGAAAGAAGGAAAACACAGAAATTAATAGAAGAAGTAGAAAAGAGAGGAATAGATATAGAAGAAATACTTAGAGAAGAAGAAAATAATATGAAAGAAAGAAAAAGAAAGAAGAGAGGAAGAAAGAGACAGAACAAAAACAATAAAAAGACAAACAACATCAGGAATAGAAAGTATGGAAAAGATTTAGAAAGAACAGAAAAAGAGTAATGCAATAAAAGAGAAACAAGAAATGATAGAACAAAAGGAAAAATGAAGAAGAAAGAAGTGAAAGTGAAACAAAAATAAGAAAAATACATCTGTTATGGAATGAATAAATTAAATAATAAATTAAAAAAGAAGCTATGAATAGAAGAATCAAGAAAACAAAGAAAGAATAACATAATGATATTACAAAAGAAGAATATATCAAAATAAACAAAGAAATGAGAGGGATTAAATACCATCATAAACATGTTAATAAAATAGTAGAAGATATGATAAATAATACAGAAAATATAGAAAATGAAAGAATAAATAAAATAATCAAAACAAAATGAACAAAAAGATTGATACAGAATATATTGATGATTTAATAAGAAAAAGTAAAATATAAAAAAAAAGAAAGGAGTTATATTTAGTATTATTTTCATAGTAATATCCGTGATGAAATAATAAAATACAATGATAAGAAATGTGAATAGAAAGAAATATCAAAGAAATACAAAAAGACAATTATAAAATATCATATATATTTGAAAATAAACAGAAAATAAATTTATATGATATAAAAAGAATATAGGAAAAATAAACCAAGGTAAAATAAATAAAATACAACATCTATTAATAAGATGAAATTATAAAATAAGAAGGATACTAAGAATAAGAAGGATATTAAAAATAATAAGAATAGACGTGAATGAAGAAATAAAAGAAATAAAATTATAAGTAACGATAAGAAGAAGTATACTCCGGAGAGAGTGAATGATGGGAAGAAATTCTCAAATGAACAATAAGTTAAAATTATTATTAATTTATTATTTATTCTATGTATATTATTTTTCTATGGCACAATTTGACAATAATGTGATACATCATATAGTACTTTTGGGAAAATCTTGTCCTTTTGGGATATATAGCAATTTTATTAATATCGTTTTATATAACATTTTATTATATTATTGTTTTTAAAACATCATTTTCTATAAATAGATTCATATTTTTATTTTTATAATGGGTACAGATATTTTTTGAGGTAATTCATTTAAAATGAACGATTTTTAGATATTTTCTTATTTTGAAGTATTATATTTTTGATATTTTCATAAATTCTATATTGAATATATTTTTGTCATAATGAATGATACTTTATAACTATTCCATTTTTTGAATATTTTAATTTTTTTACAATTTTTTTATAAATTATTACACTTTTTATAGATTTTATTAATTCGTTTTTATGTAAAAATATTTTCATAACGCAGTTTTTGTAATTTTTCATTTAGTAAGTATAATAAAGTGTATGATATGACTAAACCATTTAAGTTTTATGTTAAACCATATATGCAAAGTACAATAACTGAAATAACAGAAGATTTACTTCCACAACAAACTGGATTAGTTACAACTGCACAAACTAAATCATTAGATACACAAATTGTTAAGAAGAAGAGAATGAATTATATTAAATTTGATGGAACATCGACTTTACCTTATTCACCTACTTATGGAGCTACTAATGTGCAGATGTATGGAATTACTATACAAGATAGCTATTATTTTGATCCTATTCTATTTGGATATTTCTTTACAGCTAATGGAATAGAAGTATCAGATAAATTAACAATTGGACAACCTCATCGACCAACTGATGTTTATGCATCTGCATGGGATTTTTATGGTTTGCATGCTTCACCAATAATAAGTGGAATGGGACATTTTGAAATAACGTTCTATACCAAATTTAAACAACTTAAGAATAAATAATTGATTTCTTTTTATCTATTCTATTTATATTTCATCTAATCTAAAAATAAAGCGGATGCGTATTAGCCTACCTAATTCTATAAAAAGAACACCAATACCAAAATATTATAATAACAAAAAAAAAAGAAAAAAGAATATTATTGTTTTGTCGAACCGTATCAATAAAAGAGGAAAAAAGATCGTAGATGGATCCTGACTTAATTTTGCTCAGTGCGAAATTTAGACTAGGTAGGAATGACGATAAGAGGAGGATTCGGTAAATAAAATAATAAAAAAACTATATTATTATAATATTGTCCTGTCAATGTCCTATCTATGTCCTATCTATGTTCTGTGTCCTGTTGAAGCAACATATTTAAAGGTTAATCTGATTTAGTATTACCAGATTAACCTGTTACAAATGTTGCAAGTATGTTTTATAAAACATGTGTGATGATAGTCGTAAATGTTATACAAAACAATGTTTATGGCATGTCTGATACCCTACCCTAGTACTATTTAAAGATGGTATCTACGGTGGTAGAGCATACAACAAACGATTATGAATAGTGATACAACATTAGATGTTTTAAGTGACAGATTTAAATTAATGTTTATAATAAAGGGGGATTGTGAAAATATAACGTTGTTTCATTATTAACTGATTATAATTTCAATGTGTTATTCAACAATTATGAGTTTTATAGAACCTATTCTAATACGAGTTATAATGTGATAGAGGTTATGTATAATGAATATACAGTAATATTGTCAATTCTTTACAAAGTGCAATTAATTGGATTAAGAAATTTATCACAGACGGTAATCGACCGCCTGTTGAAATACAACGATGATTGGTGCCTCCGAGATGGCATACATGATATTTAGAATATACTCCTGAAGCTCCAGAAGAGTGAAGAAGAGTTTGATAAAATTGGTTTATGTGAGATTTAATTTAATTAAGTTTTTTAAACTGATTTACTATTTCTATTTAATTAATTTTAACATAATTTAAAGAAAGATAAAATAAATTTAATTTAAATGCTTTTAATAAATATTTAATAATAAAATGAAAGTTTCAAATAAAATAATCAATTAATTTTTATTATCCCATAGTGCTAATGTATTTATTATCCATACAATTTTCCAATATGCATGTTTTATTAATCTTTTCTGATGTTCTTCATGAATTGATGGGATTAAATTTCCAATTTGTTTTTGTAATTTGATTGCTTCTTCTAATGATGGTTGATCTATTTCATAAGCAGCAAGTGTAATAAGAATATCTTTTAAAGTAGTCATGTTTCAAATGAATAATGAGTTTCAAATGACGTATATATGATGATAAAACAAGAGTTTTTAAATGATGAATATAATACAGAATAGAAAGGATAATAATAATACAACATAATATTTAAAGAAAATGAAAACTTTAAAAGAACAATTAAATTTTTAAAAAAATGAAGCTCTCAATTAAGTCTAATTGATTCTTTTTCTTATTATTGTGTTAGTTTTTCTTGTTCATAAGGTGATAGTGCTGATAAATTCTTTTTATTTAAAAGAACATCATTATAAAGTGTTTTTCCATAATCTTTAATAACATCTTTTATTTTCTTTCCTTCACTAATTTCTGTGAGTGCTTTTCCATTTGTTTCATACCATTTTGGTATTCTTTCTAATAATTTTCCTATTGTTTCACCACCTGGAAGAAATGATGCTATTCCTTTTGAAATAGGAATTAATTTAGTTGTTATATTACCTGTTGTTTTATATAACTTCCCTCCTATTCCTGCTATTTTCTTTCCTGCTGTCTTAATTATATTCTTTAACTTTTTGATAAATCCAAATTTCATTAAATAATATTTTTAGTTATAAATAATCATCTACTTCATCTTCATCTATTTCTTCATCTATTTCTCCATTCTTATCATATTCTTCGTTATTATTAAGTCTATTAGCAAATAATAAAGGTTTTGATTTTGTTTTTGGTTTTAATGAAATATGTTCAGGTACTTGATTAATAATTTTACTTGCTGTTTTAGTAATATCATTTGGTATTTCATTTTTAACTTGATTTAAATATCTTTTAGTTGCGCCAACAACATTTTCACCTGATGCTATTCTATTTAATACTTCACTTGTAGGTTCTGCTATTTTACTAATTACTTCTGTACCTTTTTTAATTATTTCACCACCTGGAATAAAATCTGATGCTATAGAAATAAGTGGTTTTGCTTTTTCAATTACATTCCCACCAAATTTCGCACCAGAAGCTAATAGTGCTGCAACTTTCTTTAATCCTTCTTTAAATCTCTTCCAATTACCGAACTTCATGAATGAAATAAAAGATTGAACTAAGAAATCAAAATAAACAAGATGAATTATAATGTTATTAAAGCATTAGATCAAGAAGAGACAGGTGACCTTATCAAATACTTCAATTATACAGATGGAATACTTGAAGCTAATTCAGGTGTTCATGATAATAAATGTTTATCAATAGATTCATCTGATCCACCATGTCCTGTACAAAAAGGAATGTATACTAAAGTAAAATTGACAGATGAATCAATTCAAATTACAAATATAGATAAATCATCTATTACTGCATTAGTTAGAATTCAAATTAAACCAACTGAACAATTTTGGACACAAATAAAAGATAGTCAAGAAGGAGATATTTCAGGATTTCAAACAGGAAGATTAACAGCAATAGAATATTTTGTAGGATTAAAATCATCAACACATTTATTTGATGCATATCGTGTATATTCAAGAAATAAGAAAACAGCATGTGAACAAACAGAAGCATTATATGAGAATGCAGCTATTAGAATGTTAAAAGCACAAGAAGAATTAGATTATAAACCAGGAATTTATACACAATGGGAAGCAGCATATAAACATGAAGATAATGTATGTGGATGTTATTTTAATCTTCAAGAAATTATTAAAGCACCAAATAATACTATTGAAAAAGAATTTGAAGTAATTATTCCATTAGATGATTTATTACCATTTGCTGCTATGAAAATGTTTCCTAATGGAATTTATGGAAATTTAACACTTGAAGTTAAAATGGCAATTCAACAGAATTTTGTTATTTGTCAATGTAATCAAAATACTATTATAAATAAAATTAGTAAACAAATCAATTCCCCAGTTAAAGGAAATTCATTAGTACTTAGTATTGGAATTGATCAAATGAAAGAAAGAGATTATTATGGAGTATTAAATAGTAAACATGAGAATTGTTCATTTACTCAAATTGGAGATACATTTATTACATCAGTGATGTCATTACAAAAAGAAAGTAATCATGAATTAGGTGTTCTCACTCCAAAAAATATTAAAAGTTGTTTTACTATTACAGATGGAAGTTTAAGATATTGTAGAACAAATATTAATGGATTTAATATTAAAGATAGTGTAATGAATGAATTAATAGAAAAATATCAAACAAAAGAATTAATTATTCCATCACAATATGTTGATTATCAAGCATTTTCACAAAAACCATTAAGTAATGGTTTAAAATGGCAACGAAAAAAAGCAAATAATTGAAAAAGAAGAGAATGAATGATATAAAAGAATAAAAATAAAGTAAAAAGTAGAAGAAGATGAAGAAAGAATAAAAGTAGAAAGGAGAGAATATAAAAAGAAAGAAGATAAAGAGTAATAAAACAAAAGAGATGATAAAAGAAGAAAAGAAAGAAAAAAATAAAGGATGCAAATTTTATTGAAACAAATAAAAAAAGATGCAAAATTTAATGATGCAAAATATTTTGAAATAAAAATAAATCATCATTTGATATTATTATATTTGATAATAAATTATATTATATATTAAATACATCATATTTCTTTATTATTTATCTTTCTTTTCTTTTTATTATTTCATATATTAAATTATTATTCATTCATTTATTATTTATATTTCATTTATTAAATAAAATGAAAATGAAAATGTAAAATATCAATTAAATATTCATGAATAATAATTTATTAATATTTAATAATTGAAATAACAAATAATAAAGTAACAATAATGATATATTCAATATATTCTTTATTTGATTTGTTCAATATTAGATTATTCTATTTCATTATCATTTCATTATTTTATTTCATTATTTTATTTATTATTTCATATTCATTTATTATTTTTTAAAATCAAATAAACAATAATATTGATATTCATTCATCATATTCATTTAATATAATAAACATACATAACATTTAATAATAAATAATGAATAATTAAGAATGAAAATATTGATTTATTCAATATTTTATTCAACATAAAATCAATAAAACATATATTTTGATAATACACAAATGAAATAATAAAGAAATATACAATACTCAAGAATTAATAAAAAAGAAATAAAAAGAATGAATAAATGAATATAAAAGTGATAAATGATAGAAGAAAGAAATAGAAACACAACGAAAAATAAATAATATAAAAAGAATATAAATATATAAAAGAATAAAAATAAAGTATAAGAAGAATATAAAAATAATAAAACACAAAGATGTAATAAAAGAAGAAAAGAAGAAATAAAAAGTGTATTTTTATTGTAAAAATTAGAAATATTCAATAAAAAGTGTCTAATTTAATGATGTAAAATAATTAATATTATTTTATTAATGAAAATATTTTATTCTTTTTACGTTTATTATTTATATGTATAACTTCATTATGATGTTTATTATATATTCAATCATATGTGTTATGTTATTATAACATATAATAAGTGATAAAATATAAATGAAAATGATATGAATATATGATATAGAATATAAAACAAAAGAATAATAAGAATAAATGATAAATAAAACGAGAAATGATAATCAATGATATAATAATAAAATCAAAGTATAAAAGATACATTTAATATTAATATAAATCAAAAGAGAATAAATATAAAATGAAAATAGATATAAATGATAATAATATAAAAATGATAAAGATGAATATTCAAATAATAAAATACATCTAAATAGAAAAGAATAACAAGAAGAAATTTTAAATAATATAAACATAAAAATAATAAAATAAGAAGAATATAATAATATAGAGATAAACAGATGATATAAATAATATAAATAATATAAACAGAGAAATAAATATATAAAAATACGATAGATAAATAACATATAAA